GGGCCTCATGCACCCTAGGCTCGGCAGAACCTGGCGTGGGCACACTCACCACAGCAGTTCTGGGGCCAGAAACCATCATCACTTGAAAGGGGAGCTTGGCCCCGCCTCCTTCTCACAGATCCAGAGGTGCAGGTCCTTCGGGCCGGTACACTGGGCAGGTTTGATGTTTCCACGGCTTATTATGGCACAGGACCCATTTGACTTTGACTGCCATGGCCTGGATGAGGAAGCAACACATCAGGGACTGACACCTTCTACCCACAAGCCCTGCTGTGATGATTGCCTCTTGTAGCTTGCACAGGGTGGGTTGGATGCTACAGTCAGATGGCAGATCCCCCACTCCTCCCCTACTGATTTTACAGGCTGAAGGCTCAACTGACAGGTCCCTGCCCTTCCTCAAGCAGGCTGGGAAACGCCTCTACAAAGGGTTTGCAGTAGGGTTTGCAGTGCTTGTGACTCCCCTTAGCCTCCCTCCTGCTTGACTCAGCCTCACTGCTGGGCATTTTTTCCTCCTTGTGATGGGGAGAGACCAGTCCTCCCTGAGGGCATATGGACAGCTGGAGGAGCTGCCCTGGGCTGTGGGTCTGCATTGGGTGCAGTCCCCCATTTGGGGGGTGAAGGTTGAAGGTGAAAGGGTGGGCAGTGAGCAGAGGCTGGGTACCCAGCACCTGGCCAGACAGGTCTGTTCCTCCCCACTGCTCTCAGACACTGCAAGAGGAAGCAGCAACGAGCTGAGAAGTGGGTGCACGTGGAGGGGAGGAGCCCACTACTCTCTGTGGGTGGGAAGGCTTGATTCCCCCCCCACCCCCCGGGAGAAATCAAAGAGGCACGTGGGGGATAGAGATGGTGCTCAAACCCCTTGCCTAGACCCCAAATAAAACTTGTGGTTTCTTTCGTCCACTTTTGCTACCTCCTGCTTCCTATGTCCTGCATGTACTCCCCCAAGTCTTGGCTTTGCATCTGCATGTCCTCTAAGCATCTCATCACACCATTGCACCCACCTTCCCTCAGCCCCTGCTGCTCTGATGCTCTTTGTTTCCCAGTGCCTGTGCCCAGAAGTGGGTACTGGTGGGATTTAAAATGGTTCCTGAAGTCGTGCTGGGGTTGGGGAGTTTTGGCAAGAGGCTGTGCTGCCAGGTACCTTTCATAAAGGGAGCCATCCACCCAGAACCAGGCATCAGAGGGCCCCTTGCCATCCGGGTCCTCTTCCTCCAGCCAGCCATAGTCATACCAGGGGAAGCTGCTCTTCTGCAGTCCTATCCAATATGGGATATCTGCATTCTTCAGGAAGGTCTGGAGAAGAAGAAAAAGGGCCTTTTCACATTTTTTTCCATGGTACCTATGTACTGCAGTGTTTTCAGGGAATGATCATCTCCCGAAGGAGACCCTCTGCTGGAGTTCCTTGGGGCAGGACAGCTGAGCGGCCCTGGTGCCCTGCTCCAGCAGCATCCAAGGAACAGAGCCTTTTTGCCCCATGTCCATCACCAGCCATGTGATCCAGAGATCAGCCTTGCACCCTCCAACATTTTGGCAGGACAGGGGCCCCCGGAACAGTGCTAGCCCATCTGGTGAGCCCAGGTCTGGATACACCAGCTCCTGCCCTCAGCTCCCCCAGCACCCTACCGGCACAGTCCAGCGAGTCCAGGATTTGGTGATTAGGAGCTGAGAATATGTTTTCTCACACTCATCTCTGCTGTCCTCCCATGTCTTCTTCTCCGAGGATATGAAGAGGCACTTGCCCCTATACAGCAGCCAGCCGGAAGGGCAGCAGTCTGCGGGCAGAGGCACAGCTCAGATGCTTACTCAGCCACAGATGCCCTGGGCAGGGAACCAGGAACAGCCCCTCACCTTCCCAGCACATATCACAGGCTTAGCCTCTGCTCCAGGCATAGCTTCAGCCTCGGACCACCCTGCCCCCATCACATGACCAAAAACGCCAGTGCTCGTGCCTTGGCACTACACCTGCTGAGGGATGCCAGTCACCTGGGGCACCCTATTCCCTGCTCCATCATTGCCCTACCTATAGCTGTGCAGGAGCGCAGCAGAGCGACGGTGTTCTCGCTGTTGTTGAGCTTCCCCTGCACCTCCTGCATCTCCTTCTCTGTCTTGACCAGGACCCCCTTGACGTGCCCCAGCTCGGTGTTCCGGCTCTCCAGCTCCCGCTGGCTGATGTTACCCTCGCGCCACGCTCGCTGCAGCTCTGCTCTGGCCCAGGCCAGCTCCAGCTGTGCCTGCTCCAGGCTCTGCTCCCGAGCATTCAGCTCCTGTGACAGGCGGCCCTGCTCGGCTGCATGGTCGCGGGAGGCGTCCTGCAGGCTGTGGGTGACCTGCCAGTCTGGGGACAGAAGGGGTGGTCTGGGACACGGGCATGGGGCAGCCTGGGTGTGGGACTGACCCTGTTTAGGGCAGGTAGGATGGGCAGGGCAAGGCAGGGTGTTGTCTGTGTTGAATGGGAAAGGATGGGAAGGAAGGACAGAGCAGCAAAGTGTATGGTTAAGGGCTGGGCAGGACATGGGAGGGGAGAGCGGGGCAGGGGCAGGATGGGGTGTAGGAGCAGATACAGCAAGGCAGGGGCAGGCAGGGTGCAGGAATATGAGGCTGGGCAATGCCAGGGTGGGAAGGAAAAGGAACAGAAACAGAGAGCAAGGTGGGGAAGGCAGGTGATGAGAGGCAGTGGGGGTGCCCATGGTGTGAGACGGATACAGGACAGCTTGTGGCAGACAGGGAAGAGGGACTCAGCCATGAGCAGTGTGCATAGGCATGCCGCTCTTCACTCCGTGCTCAAACACGGCACCCACCCCAGCCCAGCTGCCTCCTTGCCCCAGCCACCCCCAACCCCATATGTGCCCAGACCCCTGACTCACAGCAAGCCCCCAGGGCCACAGTGGCCACCAGTAGCAGGCAGGTTGCCAGCAGCCCCACTGGGATGCACCACCGCCAGGACCGGCTGCCTGCAAGACACAACAGACATCACCTGGAGAGCTGGAAAACCCCTGGCAGTCCCCGGGCCTACTGCCTGCAGGCAGTGGTGTGGTGGCATGACGGCACAGGTGGCACGGTGTGGGTGCCTCCTCTCTTAAAGGATGGGAGTGGGAGCACCCCAAAACACCACCCACTACCCACGCCCTGGGTGCCCTGGATTCCAGCTGAGTACTCACCTGTGCTGGGCTGGGCCCCGTCCCCATCCTGCCCTGCCAGTGCCGGCTGCGTGTTCTCATAGGGGCTCTCTGCCTCATCCATGCCAAGGGCTGTGGGAGGAATGCAGGGAGTTGAGTCCATGGGGTTGGACATGTCAGGGACAGAGTGGCGGGGCCTGTGGGCTCTCACCTGCCTCCAGTGCCTGGCTGGCCATGCTCCGGCCCCCCATCACTTTGGCAAACCTCAGGTCAGCATAAACCATGCTCTGGGCCATGTGGGTAAGTGCTGGGCAAGCCCTGAGCTCTTCGGGCTCCCACTCTGCCCTTGGGATGCCTTTCTGGGATGGTCCTGCTCCTGGTGATTGCGCCGTGTCTCAGAGGTGCAAAGGAGACGTGCAACCAGCATCTGCAGAAGCAGAAGTTCGCTCTGCGTTGTAGCAGATGGGACCAGTGAGGCACAGCCACAGGCATCAGCACCCTCTCATTGGTCCCAGAAATACCAGCCCCTCCCCTCTCACGCTCCAAAAGTGCACTTGGTCCCCCCGGGCACATGGCAGGGCCAGAGCAGCACAGACTGAGATCACGGCCATGGCAGAGCAAGGACGGACTCAAATCCTTGGGCCAGGGGATAGCAAGGGTGGAGCAGGGCAATCCTCAACACAGGAGCACATTGCCCTGTGGAAAGCTCTGTGCAGGGCTGGAGGTCTTCGCAGATACAGATTTCCTCTCCCAGCCTCTGAGAATGGATATTTCCCCACTATGCAGCATGTGCCACTGCCTCTCATCCTCTCCCTGTTCCCCTTCTAGAAGAAGCAAGCTTTGGCATTGCTCCAAACCTCTCCCAGACAGCTGTATAGAGCAATGACATCCACTTCGCCTTCCCTGCCTAAGACAACAATCCCAGCACTCACAGCACCTCCTTCTTGGTCCCTCCAGCTTCTCAGCATCCCAGAGATCTCTACTGAACTTCATCCAGAGAAAGACAGGTTTCCAAAGGATCACTGAGTTGGGGGCCAGCTGGTCATATCTGGATGCAGCCAGTTTGGAACAGGACTGGAGGTGCACAGTGTTGGAGCACAGCATTACAGGGCTGCTGCCCATCATCTGTGCAAGAGCAAGGGAAGTCCTTCATTATTGGAGAAAGGCAAAAATCACAGTCAGCTTGGCTGGCAAGTTTGGAAAGCCAAGGGTTGTACAGCCTCCACCCAGTCTCCTGGAAGAAAATGAAGCATATCCTGGGCATGCAGGTGCTCGGGCCTGGGGAGGACATGCTGGGGAAAGGCCAGTGGGATGTACTGGGTGACTGCCCAGTATTCCTGCTACTGCTTGGGAGCACCAGGCTGTGTACAAGGGAAGAGCAATGAGACCATTTGTCATGGCACTTCGAGGTTTGGGACATGATTTTCCATGGTGTCCTTGCTGGCAGAGTGGGAGCATGTGGCTATGATGAGAGGAGAAGTGAAAGCTCATGCTGCAATGTGGAAATCCCTTTTAGGCATTAGGGCAAACATTTCGGCGCAGCAGCGATGCTCAGATTCTGGAGCAAAGCACAGAGAAGAGGGAAACTCCATCCTGGATGGGGTCAGCACCAAAGCCACCTGTTCCCACCCATAAGCCAGCCCTGCTCTCCCCCTGCCCTAAGGGAACTAAATCAATTCTCCATAGGCTCTGCCCAGTGCCCCAGCTCTGAGCTGTGCTGCACCCCCCACTGCTATCCCAGGGGACCCTGAGCAGTTTCGGGGGGTGGAATGAAATAGGATGGTGGTGCTGGGCCAATGGCAGGGCTCCAGTGCTGTGGTTGTACTTTCCCATCTACCACACCTCCACACACTTCTGCTTCCGCAGAAACCAGCTGCACTTTTTCTCTGCAGCAGAGCAGCACCCTCAGGGCTTTCGGGGAAGCCTGGGCATGGCCCAGAATGTGGTCTATGCTGACCTGAAGTTTGCTGAGGGGTCCCCATCCATGGTCCCCAACGAGGACGACAGCCCCTATGAGAACGTGCTGCCAGGGCCAGTGATGGCAGCGCCCAGCCCAGGTGGGAACACGGACACAGCCACTGCTGCGGGGATGCCCCGACGTGGGGTGGGTGCCGGCTGATGGCAGGGGGGGCCACAGAATGATGCCTGGGGGTGCTCATTTTTGCAGGGCACTCGCCCCGGCGATGGCACATCCCCAAAGCTCTGCTGCCAGCCAGCCTGGTCCTGCTCCTGCTGCTGATGGTGACCATCGTGGCCCTGGGGGCTTGCTGTGAGTTGGGGTGACGGCCATGGGGTAGGGGGCAGCTGGGAGGGGGACACTGGGAGCAGGTGTTGGGCTGGGCCAGGGACAAGCTGCAGGGGGTTTATCAGGGATGAGGCATGCCTGAGGCTGGGGGTCCAGGGCTGGTTGCTGCCTCTTGCATGGCTATGTGAGCTGCCTCCCACTACCTTCCCACTCCCTCCCACTCCCTCCCATTGCCTCCCACTGTTTTCCCACTGCCTCCCATTGTCTTGCCTCTGCCTTATCACTACCTTCCAATCCCTGCCACTGCCTCCCATGCCCTTCCGCTGCTTCCCATTGCCTCCCACTGTCTTCCCACTACCTCCCATTGCCTGCCACTGCCTCCCACAGCTTCCCAGTCCCCCCCCACTGCCTCTCACTCCATGTTATTGCTTCCCATTACCTCCTGCTGTCTTCCCACTGCCTTCTGACTGCCTTCCCACTGCCTCCCATTGCATTCCCACTGCCTCCTGCTGCATTCGCATTTTCTCACTCACTCTCCTTGCCTTCTTATTGCCTCCCACAGCCTCCCACTCTCTCCCACTGCCTTCCCACTGCCTTTCCACCACTTCCTATTGCCTTTCCAATCCCTTTCACTACCTCCCACTAAACTTCTCATTGTCTCCCCTTGCCTTCTCCCTGTCTCCCATTGCCTCCTACTGCCTCGCATTGTCTCCCCTCATCTGCCACCATTGGGGCTTCCTTTCCCTTCTCACTGACACCCCCGGGACATTCTCTACCCACAGCCAGGCACTCCTATCCCACTCTCCTTTGCAAGTCCCATGCCTGGGCTGCCCCATGCCTGTGTCTCAGCTCACTGCCCTGTCCCCAGACTGGCAGGTCACCCGTAGCCTGCAGGACGCCTCCCGTGACCATGCAGCCGAGCAGGGCCGCCTGTCACAGGAGCTGAGCGCTCGGGAGCAGAGCCTGGAGCAGGCACAGCTGGAGCTGGCGTGGGCCAGAGCAGAGCTGCAGCGAGCATGGCATGAGGGCAACATCAGCCAGCAGGAGCTGGAGAGCCAGAACACCGAGCTGGAGCACGTCAGGGGAGTCCTGGTCAAGGTGGAGAAGGAGATGCAGGAGGTGCAGGGGAAGCTCAACAACAGCGAGCGCACTGTGCGCAGCCTGTACGCCTGTGTGAATACAGGTAGAGTTGTGGTGGGGTTGGGGCACAGGCAGTGTTGCTGTTGGGCAGATGCGGGGGTTGATCTCGGCCGGGCTGAGCCCCCCGAGCATCCATGGGAGGACAAGTGTCTGACCTATGCCCTCCCCCCAGAATGCTGCCCCTCAGGCTGGGTGCTCTACAGGAGCAAGTGTCTCTTCATCTCTGTGCAGAAGTTGAACTGGCAGGACAGCATAAATGACTGCAAACAGAAATCCGCTCAACTGCTGATCCCAGATGGCTGGTCACGACTGACAGTGCCGGTACAGAGCAGGGGGATTGTGGTACCCTAGGAGGGTGGGACTGGGCAGTGTCCTGGGGGGCAGGAGCAGCAGTATCTGTGGAGGTGCTGGGGCAGCACCATGAGCCCCAGGTTTCCATCCTGGCAGCCTGGGAGGAGGAGCACAGCTGACCCTGGGGCTCCTGGGCACCAGGAAAGTGCTGGTCACAAAGCAGGTGGTTGACAGCTTCTCTTCCCCCAGCATTTTGTGCAGGAGTCTGACGAACAGTACTGGATTGGACCAAGCACTTTTTATGGCACAAAGACGGCTTCTAAATGGCAGGACAGCAGTCAAACTTTGTAAGTACAAGAGTGCTGCACACAAGCACCTGCCCTTTTGCCATGCCAGAAAGGTGCTATTTTGACCCTGTTACATCCCCCAGGAAAGGGAGTGGTGGTCCCCCATGGGAAGGGTGTCAAGGCAGAGCTCAGCTGTGGAATTTACTGCTGGATTTCCAAGTGGCAGAGCAGAAAACTGGGAGGAAGAATGTAACCCTTCCTCAGACTAGTCCCAGTGCCAGGCACATTGCCTGCCCCAGCAGCACTGAGACCTATGGGAAGTGGGGTCCATAGCAAGGATGTTATCACTGCTGCTCTGAGATGTGCTCTCTTTCCTAGGAGAGCATTCTGCACGGCAATAGAAAATGGAAAAATCACATTTCCGTCATCATGCTCATGGCGTCGCTTTAATTGGATCTGTGAGAAATCCCCAAAGCTGAGCAGCACATCTGAGACCCAACCTCCTCTCCTGGCCAAGGTCTGACTGCTGACACTCTACTCCATCTCTGGACTTGGGGACAGGAGCTGGAGGTGCACCCCGAGACTCTGTCCCTTGTGCACACATTGCCTCAACTGTGTTACAAAGCGCTGGGAAAGAGGGTCTGTATTTTAAAGGCTGGAAAAGAGACCTTATTCCACTCTCTCACACTCATGTATACACCTATTACACCACCTTGCACTGTGCCTCTGTGTGTTCCTGTGTGCCCTGGCCAGCACACTCTGCAGTGACTCGGGTTTCCAGTGCAAAGCCCATCTCCCACCTTCTGTGCTTCCCCAAGGCTGCCAGGGGAGAGATGTGCAGGATCTGCCATTTGCATTTTCTTGGAGCTGGGGGATGACACATTGGTGTCCCTCAACCCGTACATTTTGGGGACTCCTGTGGATTTACAGCCTGTCCCTTCTCTTGGCATTAACAGCTTTGATCTCACCCTTTTTTCTGCCTCCATCACCTGCCCAGGGCTTTGGGCTGGGTCTTGCCTGGGAAGAGTGCAGGCAGTGGTGCCATTAGCATGAGAAACTGCTGGGAAGTCCTGAGGCCATATGGGAGATGGGAAACCTCTGGGGAGCCTTGAGAACATGGAAGTTGAATAAGGAAACCCTGAAACCATGGGAGAAAAAAGGGTGCAATGAAGAGCACTGAGATCATGGGGGTGAATGCAGGAACCCTGAGACCATGGGAGGAAATGGAGGTTCAGTGAAGATACCTGAGAACATGGAAGGCAAATGGGAGGTGCCCTGAGGAAATGGGTTTGAGCCTTAAGACAGTGGAAGAGAGAGGGAAGTACCGAGGAGACTTGGGATCACTGGAAAAAGGGGACCCTGGCACCATAGGGGGAAGGTCTCTAAGATCATGGTGGAACCTGAGCTGCCAAACAGGGTGATAAGACAGCCCTGTCCAGGACCCAGGCAGGGAGGGGGATGGGGTGAACAGGGAAGGGCTTCAGATGTCTTCTATCTCGACTTATGCAAAGCCTCTGACACAGTCCTCCTCTAAACTGGAGAGAAATGGATTCAATGGGTGGACTGTTTAGTGGATAAGAAATTGGCGGAACAGTTCCATCCAGAAGATAGTGGCCAATGGCTCTGTGTCCTGATGTGGGCATTGGTGACCAGTGGTGTCCCTTGGGGATCCATATTGGTACCAATGCTACTTACTGCTTTCATCAACGACGTGAACAGGGGGATCGAGTGCACCCTCAGCAATCCTGCAGGTAACACCCAGCTGAGAGCTGCAGTGGACATGTCTGAGGCACCCGATGCCATCCAGAGGGACCTGGACAAGCTCAAGGAGTGGGCCCATGGGAACATCATGAGGTTTAACAAGACCAAGTGCAAGATGTTGCACTTGGGTCAGGGCAACCCCCAGTACCAACAGGCTGTGGGGTGAACAGATCAAGAGCAGCCCTGCTGAGAGGGACTTGAGGGTGCTGGTGGGTGAGAGGCTGGATATGACCTGGTCATGTGCACTCACAGCCCAGAAAACCAATCCTGTCCTGGGCTGCATCCAAAGCAGGTGAGGGAGGGGATTTTGCCCCTCTGCTCTGCTCCAGTGAGACCCTATCTGGAGCACTGCATCCAGCTCTGGGGTCCCCAGCACCTGTTGGAGCAAGTCCAGAGGAGAGACACCTGCCCCCAGCCCAGCACTCTCATGGTGCTGGGGAACCTCAGGGAAGGTAGAGGCAGTGAGCAGGGACCTCACGAAACTTTAGATCAGCATAGACCACACGCTGGGCCATGCAGGCAGCTGGGCAGCAGCAGTCCAGGAACCCAGTCCTGTTCTACTCCACTGTGGTCAGGTAGCAGACTGTGGCTAAGACTATGCAGGATGGAGACACTTCTTCATATGCAGAAAAGCAGAAGCAGTTGCTTTATTTGCAAGAAGTGGTTTTATTTATGAGGATGCTCCAGCTTTGGGGTGTGGGGGGTGAATCAACTCCACTCTGGGCTGCATGCTCTGCGTCTGTGCCCCCAAGCTGTGAGGAGCCCAAGCCCATGTGTACTGGCCACAGCAGGGCTACACTGCCCCATGCATCCTCTCTTCCCTCCCAGCCCCTGATCAGCACACAGGATGCACTGACTTGTGAGGGCTTGGTCCTCTGAATATGCCAGGGAGAATCCCAGGGATGTTCGTGCCAGAGATCCAGGCTGCTGGGGGAACCCAGGAGGTCTGTATTGAAACCATAGCAGCCCCTGGAATCAAATACCTTCAACTCAAGCCCCATCAGACCTTTCAGGCTCTCAGACATCATCCAGAATCAAAGCAAATTGAAGGCACTTGCTGGAACCTCCTCAGACTGGGCAGGACCAGCAGATAAGCTGCTGCCCATTCCAAGTCCTCCATGCGATGGGGAAGCAAAGGGTCACCTCTCAGCTGCGTGTCCCAAGAAGCAGAAACACCAGGCAGCCACCAAAATCAGAAAGCCCAGAGCTTTCAGGGGACCTGCCCAAGCCTGCAGAGGAGCTGCCTCACGCTGCCACGAGGCCATGAGGATGCTTGGATTGCTGCTGGCTGAATGCTGGCTCCTGGAACAGTGCAGCAGATGCTATTTCCCGCTTTTCATTGATGCAACTGAGTCAATGAGCTGGAGGATGCACCTCCATCACACCACTGTCATTCCCCAAAGCCAGACACAGTTATTGGCAGAGTTTATTGGCAAAATGCAGTTACAGGGAGGTAAAGAGGTCTGAGCCAGGAGTCAGCAGTGCCTGCGAATGCCCATGAACTGGATTCAGCAGGGAATATGGTGGCGGGACAGGCTGGAGGTTCCCACGGCCATCAGGGCCTCACACAGCTGTAGGTGGTGTTCCCCCAGACGAAGGCAGGAGGCGAGGACTGGAGCCACTGCAGGGTGGCTGCACTCTGCTTGCAGACCCATCCAAGAGGTTCTGAGCACAGACCACTCAACAGCCCCAAGCCTGACACCCTGCCACAGGCCTGGTAAGACCTAGTGTAGCCATGGATTGGGAAGATTCTGTGGGGAGAAAGTGCACTGAGATAGGATGGGCAGGAAGAACTGGGGTTGTCCCATCAGCAACTCCTCCAGCCAGGGACCAGAGATGGCACAGGGATGCTGTGGGCAAAGCTCACCCTCCCCATGGAGCACAGTCCACTGCCTCTTCCCATTTATGTCCCAAATCCCACATGTTCTGATGTTCCCAGCCCCATCAGGCACATGGGACACCCAGGTCCCTCCTGTCAGGGCTCAGCATCAACTGCACCAACCAAAATCTGAGAACCTGCCTTTGGGAGACCCCTCCAGTCCCTCACCCAGGCAGAGTATGGGCACCAGGGCCAGGCCTCTCTTCCCTATCTTCTCTTCCCTAAAATGCCCCAGTGAAGCCCTGGGGAGACAAGAGGCGGCCAAAATATGGAGCACATCCCTGCATGACAGTGTCCCCCTGTCACCTCCCTGAGCCCTGCTGCTGGACCCTCAGCAGCCCTGGCTGGGGACAAGCTGACAGCCTTACCCCTTCAACATGGTGCCATCCAGCCACTTCCAGTCAGACACGTAGCCATCCTTCTTCAGCCCCACATGGAAGACCTCCATGTTGGCTGTGCGCATCAGGAAAGCCTAGCACAGGAGAGGATCCATGTGAGCTCCCTGGGGGGACGCCCAGCCCCACCCACGATCAGTGACGGCACAGCATTTCCCGCTCCCTGCCTGGAGGCCTGGAGGCTTAGCTAGGATTTGGGCACAGGGGCCAGAGCCAGGGAGCTGAGACAGTGCTGCTGATGGGTAGGTGGCTGCTGAGGGACCTTGAGGTGGTCACCAGCACAGCATGATGCTTGCAGGGAGCTGGACAGGGCAGGCTGGGTGCACTCACCAGGGTAGCGTTGTCTTGGATGGTGACCAGCTGTCCCCCTCTGGAGCAGCAGTCCTCTCTGCTTTTCTCCCAGGCCTTTTTGGCAGATGAGAAGTAGTAGCAGTGCCCTGCATCCCAGAGCCAGCCGACCGGGCAAAACTGGCATTGCGCTGCACACCAGAAACACAGCAGCTGGGGCTGGGCAACTGGCAGGGGCTGCCACCAGCCCCCGGCCCAAGGGGCAGGAGAGTGACAATGGGCAGTCACTGGGTACCCACCCACCCAGCATGCTCCTTGGGCTACCCCACGGAGACCACCCCCCCCTTGCCCTTATTCAGGAGCTCGGCTCCCATCTTCCAGCCTCAGCTTCCCAGAAGGAGACCCTGATGAGATCGAGCTCCCTGGGGAGAAGGAGATGCTGGCACTGGGCAGGGAGGGGAGCTCCAGTTTTGCAAAAGCAATACAAACATAATTTCCCAAGTGCTGGGAACTGAGTCAAGATTTCAGCTGCACCAGAGATGGTCAAAAAGAGAACCTGATGCCATCTGGCACACAGATGCTGGTGGCATCCATGAGCCTTGTGCTGGTGGCATGTCCAGGCAATGCTGAACCATGCCGAGGTCATCTCTTCCAAAGGTTCCCAGCATTCAGCTTGCCCAACAGTGCTGGGGCAGCTCTCTATGCTATGAGCCAGGGATAGGCAGCAAGGGTGAAGGAATATTTGGGTTGGGGAGACTGTCCTGGAGCATGGACAGATCCTGCTGCTTGAAAGAAGCAGCCAGGCCCTCTCCAAACCTTGTCCAGGAGCTCACCAGGCCTTTTTACCTTGCAGTGTCTGTTGCCCATAGCTGGGGCTCTCCTCCGTGCTCCAGAGATCGTGGGGGCAGCTCACCTGCTGTTGTACCAAATCTACAAAAGAGGAGCACAGGGGTGTCCCAGCAACTCTGAGCTCCTGCTCCCAGCAGCACCCAGTGTCCTCTCCCATGGGACAGCCCCATGGCTGTGGGTGAGGGCATCTCCTGCTTTGGGTACGCCAAGCCAGGCAAGGCCTTTGTGGGTTTTGCTGTGCTTGGGAGCTCAACACAACACAGGCTTTCGGGGAAAGTGCTGCTGCCTTTTGGTTTCAGTGTCACTGCTTTCCTTCCTGCTCTCTTTTCAATGCCATGTGATTGCCTTCCCCAAGCCCACGCTGTCCCATCAACTATTTTTCCCAGCCACGTAGGCGATGTCTCGCCTCACCAATTTTCTTTTTTGCCCCAGAACCCTCATAGCACTCACCCCAAGCAGGAGGGCCCAGCTCCTTGGGGAAGCTGCACCTCTGTCTGTTGGTACAAAGCCCTGTGGTGCCGGCCCTAACTGCAGGACCCCAGCCCCAGAGATCCGGGCACAGGCAGGCAGGTACTCACAGTGGAAGCTCAAGCTGACGAGGATGATTTGTGCCAGCAGAAGCATCAGGGAGAGGAGACCCAGGATGAGGGCTGCCCAGCACCAGGGCAGGCGCACCGGCTGCTGAGGACCTGAGAAAAGGATTTAATTTAACCTAGACCCAGTGGGGGCTTGGTGTGAGCAGTGGGTAACTTCCAACCAGGAAAGGTCTGGGAACCCCAAGCAGGATGTCAGGAGGCAGCAAGGGAGCCCAGGAAAAGTGGGAGAGAGCCCATTTGCAGCAGCCTGACTCTCCTAAAAGTTGTTTGCCTGCAGACAGCACTTTGCATAGTAGAGGAAGAGCAGAGCAGGGACTGCCTGTGTGTGCTGTGGCACTGGGGTACAGTGGGCATCCCGTGACCTTGAGCCACTCCTGCCCCCCAACCTGAGAGTAGGCAGTCTGCAAGGAAGCTGGAGAGGAGCTGTTTGGGAGAGGACACACAGAAAGTGAGGGGAACAGGTCTGGGAGGCCAAGGGTCTGCAGGAGGGCAGGGAATCTGCTGAGAGAGCTGGGGAGCCAGGGACAGGGACCACCGCGCCATTACCTGGTGTGGGGGGAAAGCGCAGATCAGCGTATGTGACCCTCTCTTCCATCCCTGCTTTGATCTCTTGCTCTGCACTCCACAGGGACATCAGCAACCCTCTCCCAGACACTTTGTCAGACGGGTGTGATGCAAAATGGAAAGTGTCACTTCCTGGTGGGGTCCCCAGAGGCACCACCTGGGACACAGCCCTGGGGGCGTCATGGGGCTGACAGACACTTGGAACAAGGGGGAGCCCTGCTGAGGCTGACACCCAGGCTTTCCAGCAAGAGGGAACCCTGTGGCCCTGGTTTTGGGGTAGCAGGTGATGGGGGTGGCTGCTAACTCCAGGGCAGAGTTGGGCAGCCATTTCATGGAGTCACAGAATGATTTGGGTTGTAAAGGACCCTAAAGATCATCTTGTTCCAACCTTCCCTGCTATGGGCAGAGAAACTTTCCAGTAGACCAGGTTGCTTAGAGCCCCATCCAGCCTGGCCTTGAACATTTCTAGGGATGGGGCATTCACAGCTTCTCTGGGCAACCTGTGCCAATGTCTCACCACCCTCACAGTGAAGAATTTCTTCCTAAAAGAGGGAAAGCCATACAAGGAGCAGCTGAGGTCTCTTGGTTTGTTCAGCCTGGTGGAGAATGAGGGGAGACCAGTCTACAGCTTCCTCACGAGGCACAGCAGAGGGGCAGGCACTGATCCCTCCTCTCTGATGACCAGGGACAGGACCTGAGGGAACGGCATAAAGCCATGTCAGGAGAGGTCTAAGATGGATATCAGGAACAGGCTGTTCACCCAGAGGGTGGCTGGACACAGAAACAGGCTCCCCAGGGAAGTGGTCACAGCACCAAGCATGACAGAGTCCAAGACGTGTTTGGACTTTACTCTCAGGTATGTGGTGTGACTCTTGGGGTGTCCTTTGCAGGGCCACAAGTTGGAATTTGATCATCCCAGTGTGTTCCTTCCACTTCAGGATATTCTGATTCAATGACTAGTATCTGATCTAAACCTGCCCTCTGTCAGTTTGAAGCCATTCCCCCTTGCCCTGTCACTACATACCCTTATAAAATGTCCCTCTTCAGCTCTCTTGTAGGCCTCCATGTATTAGAAAGGTGCTATAAGTTTTCCCGAGAGCCTTCTCTTCTCAAAACTCAACAACCCCAACTCTCTTAGTCTGGTCTGCCTTGGGGTGCAGGACGCTTCCCCATGCACCTCTCTCTCCAAGCAGCAAGGCCACGGGATATTTGCTTACAAGTGGTTTCTGCTGCCTTTTTTTTTTTTTTTTTTTTTAATGGGGCTGCAACTGCATCTCTCAACCGTGGAAAGCGGAGGGTTGGGGTGCTCCTTCCTCTCCCCTAGGCCTTCCGATCTGCCGCGATGTCCATCCCTGGCCCCCCGGGGACGGACAACGACCCCGGTTCCGAGCTGCCGGGTTACGCTGGGGCTGGGATGGCTCATCCGGACTACGTTTCCCAGCGGCTCCTCCCGGGGCCGCACATGCTCGATGCGACTCCCGGCAGCTCCCGGCGCGGCTCCCGGTGCGGCGCAGGGGTGGTCGGTGCGGCTGCGGCTGGGGGTGGGACCAGCGGTGCCCGGTCCCCGGCGCGATCCCCGGCGGTTCCCCGTGCGGCTCCCCGGGGAGGCTCCCGGTTTGGCTCCCGACGGCTCTCCCGGTGCCGCCCCGGCGGGGCATCCTCCCGGTGCGCCCTCGGGAGCGCACGGCCGAGCCCCGGGCTGATCCCGGCCCGGGGCCGAGCGTTGCCCCGCCGCTCCCCGCCACCCCGGCAGGATGCCCCGCAGGCGAACCTGGACGCAGGCGGAGGTCAGCAAACTCCTGTCGCTGGTGGAGACCTCGGGAGAGGCCGCCCTACTCATGGCCTCCACGTCGCGACCCAACGAGGCGCTTTGGCGGGAGATCTCCCGGGGTCTGGCGGAGGCCGGCTACGAGCGCAGCGTGGCCCAGTGCCGCTCCAAGTGGAAGGTGCTCAAGCAGACTTTCCACTCGGAGCGGGAGACGCGCCGGAGGGCAGGACACCACTCTTCCCGGCTGCCCCAGCACTACCGGGCCATGAAGAGTATCTGGAAGGCGGCCGGGCGGCCTGTCTTTGGCGAGCGGAGGATGCCAGGTGGATGCCAGGGACGGGCATGTGGGCTTAGAAGGGTGGCTAGATGTGGGTTGCCTGGGGAGCACTGATGCTGCACGGGCACCCACGGTATGTTGGTGGTCTTTCTCTTCCTCTAGAGCTGGTGAATCTGCCCTCCAGGAAGCGCAGGTCAGCCCTTGCCTCTCGCTCCTCATCCTCGCCAGAGCCACCAGGTACCTGTGCGCTCAGTCAGCCGGAGTGGGGCTTGTCCTCGCTGTGGGGTGGCAGGCGCCCCTCATCACTCAGTTATTGAAGTTCTTTTCTGCACCCCCTTCACCTCCTTCTGCAGAGCACGATGTTAGCAGTGACGCCCCAGGCATGCTGCTGTCCCCGCCGCTGCAGTGTGCAAAGAATGAGCCAGAGAGCCGTAAGTACCAGCCTGCCCTGCTGCACCAAGCTGCACGGCCACAGCTCCAGCACAAGCCCAGGCCAGCATGATGAGGAGGGGGGGCTTAGGGGATCAGAGGATCCATCACGTGTCCCTCAGCAGGGATGCTCAGTGATGGGAGCATTGAGACTTCCTGCTCCAGAGGCTTCAGCCAGAGGTTAAACCAGGCCCAGAGCATGAGGTGATGGCTGGGATCAGGGCAGGAAGGGGACTCCAGCTCTGACCCAGCCTGAGGGCATGGCAAGGCTGCTGGCCACCCCACGGCAGATTGTGGGGCACAAGGTCTATAAGGGGCAGTGGCCTCGGTACAGCCCAGGGGTCTCTTCTGGCTGTGTGGCACTGCAGGGCATGTGACTCCCCTTCCTTTGGCAGATCCTGGCTCCCCCCTTCCCCAGTAACAACATAGGTCTTCAGATGAGTTAGGACTGTGTCTGAGGGCCAGAGGTGCCTGCAGCTCCCATGCTCTGCAGCCCACTCAGGGACATATCTTGCAGCCCCTCCAGGGATTTTGGCACTGAGGTGATGCAGGATACATCCCTGAGTCAGATTTGCGTGGGTGCCCCGGCCAGCCTTCCACGCTGGGTAACTGCCTTCTGTCTCCCTAAATTCCCCCTGCAGTTTCAAGTGGATGTGGGATTCTCCTTCACTTCCAGTCCTAGTCTGTTGTGTAGCGTTGCTGCACGCTGCTCCGCCACTGCTGCCTTCCAGCCCAGAGGAGGCTGCATTGCAGTGGTGGGTGAGTGACTCCTGGTTTTGTACCTAGCTCTGAAATGCTTTGGGGCCCTGCAGGGCACTGTGGAGCTGTGGCTAAGGCACGTTGGGCTGTGGGGCTGGCCGGGGCAAGCCAAGCAGACTGGTGATCCCCAGGCTGGTGGTGATCCCCTGGCAAGTCCTGTCAGATGGCGTATCTCTCCTCTCTGCTTTCTCCCAGCAGCTCGTGGGGAACACATCGTTGAAGTGCCACTCACACCCCCCACCATGCCACGTAAGGCTTTCCTTGCCCTTCTCAGCCCAGTAAAGCCCAGTAAAGCCCCCACAAGCAGGGTCTGATTTGGTTCTCGTTGCAGACACCAGTTGCTGCTTCCCTCTTGTCTCCCTCCTGGGTGAGTACTGCATCCTGGCTACTGTGATTGTGCACCCTGGGGCAGGATGTGGCTGCAGCTCACAGGCTGTATCTGCTCTCGTTCCAGGCTGTCACACTGACCCGAAGCAGGAAGGAACAGAGGAAAGAGCTGGTAAGTGTCTGCTGCTTTGAGCAAGTTCTCCTGGTCCAGGGGACAGCTCTGCCCTGTCCTGCCAGCAGGAATGCAGGGCCTGGGCTCCCAGAGGCAGTGCCCTTCCAGGTCTCTGTGTGGGGTCAAGCTGAGCGTGGGCTTTGGGTGCCTCCATCACTCTGGTTGTTTCCTCCATGCCAAGCTGTCATGGCACATTTTCCTGGTGAGACGTCCCTGGGGATAGGAAGAGGAAACCAAATGCTGCCAGTGGCTCTCGCAGCCTCAGGTTCCCAAGGGACAGCTGCCATGAGGGAGCAGCCGGCAGCAGGTGAAGATGCATCAGATACAAGCCTTCATGGTGGGTCCTCGCTGCAGCATTCCAAAAGGCTCACAGGGAGCTCTCAGAGCCATGGTGAGGCTTTGCTGCCACTGACCCCTCTCTCACTGCAGGGCCCGGTGTGGCAGGCTTGCTCCAGAACGTCCAGCAACTACTGGTGCAGATCCTGCAGACGTCACAGCAGCAGCAGGCACTACTGGAGCGCCTGGCCAGCGACACAGTCTCCCACCTCCAGTTCCTCTCCCACAGCCTCGTGCAGGTGGGTGAGACCCTGCACCAGCTCCTGCTCCGGCCACAGACCCACCCTGGCCCCCTTGGCCACTACATCCCCCATGTGCCCCTTTTTGAGGGTGGCCCTGGAAAGCCCTGCTCCCCTGGCACTCTCCACACCTCCCCAGACTGCAAAGAGGAGGCTCAGCTGTCCCCTGCCACTGGTTGCACCCTGCCATGAGTGCCACCATTACCGGCCCCAGGAGCAACAGCTTTGCTGCACAGCCACGGCACAAATCTGTATAGCAAAGGTTCCAGATATTTTGAAAGTTTATAGAAGAGAGACATTTAATAAAATTAAAAATAGCTTTTCTACCAGTGATGACAATTGACCAATTCTTTCCCCCTCTCTTGGGGATGTTCCCCTTCTCACTTTCAAGATGAACAGGAGGGGAACTTGGCTATTTACAGCCTCAGAAACTCCCAAGCCAAACACTGTGGGGCAGATGTGCTTTATCTGCGCCTTCCAGCAGCACGTGGGGCAGGCAGGACCCCTCTGCCTGGGGAGCGTGCTGCTGGGCTGTGGAGCAGAGTGGGGCCTCCAGGACTGGAGGGCAGGAAGGCCACATTGCCAGGGTGCATCCCTCTCCAAGGGAGAGTGGGCGATGCTGGGCGGCACTGGTGCTGCGGGGGCAGTGTGTGCAGCAATCATAGTCCCCTGTTCTCCGGGTCCTGGGCACGCCACTTCCAGCCAGTGCTGCAGGCTTCCCACATGCGGCAGTGAGGCCCTCCTCCAGGAGGGATCCTCCTGCTTCAGTACGTGGGTCACCATCAGGTGACAGTAGTTGCAGACATGCCGTGGCTTGTGGTGCTTGGCAAGAGGGCCACTGTCTCCTGCCCCAACTCCCCACCATCTTCACCGGTTTGTGCACATGCTCCAAGGGGGTGGAGAGATGTGCTGACTCCAGAATCTCTTTGCCCCATCCAGGGAGAGAAAGTGGTTGACTCTGGTGATGTAGGGCAGGTAGATGTCAGGACAGTAGTTCCTGCCATGCAGCTTGCTGGAGGGCTGATAGGTGGCCTGCCGCTTCTGCTAGAAGAGGAGGGACGCCATATAGTGGCTGGCCCGTGCCAGGAAGCTGGGCAAGCAGCTTGCCAGGGCACCTCACATCGTCCAGATGCACACACCAGCCAGCTGGAGCACCCGACCTGTGGCCAAGGCATGGAGAGGGGTCAGGAGCATGGTCTACAAGTGAGGTGGGTGGGGGCCAGTGGGTGCCACAGCACCAGTGAGCAACAACGTCACAGTCCAGGTGTCATCTGGCAAGGGAGAAGCGTGGGTGAGCAGTGCTGGGAAAACTCATTGTCCCTCCTCCCACACCAGCTATGCACCCTGGGTCAGAGACAGCGGCGTGCTGTGGGGGCACCCTGGCCTTGTGATGCAGTGGGCAGGGAGCTGGGGCCTGTGGGGGCTGCCAGGAGTGGAGCCAGCCCTGGTGGGGAGGGTGCTCCCACCGCTGCACACAAAACATCCTCTGTGCTTCCAAGCAGGAGCGGAAAGCAGCTGGCTGCTGGCCAGCAGCTCCTGCCCCACGCCTCATGGCTGCCTGCAAATAGCTCTGCCCAGAATTTCTCTCTTTGGGACCCGTCAGGGTGGGCAAAGATAGGAGACAGGTGGCATCTCCCTTCCTGAGCTCTGCCACTTGCATCGGTGAGGATGCAAGATGGGAGAGGCACCTTTGAACTGTGGTTGCCCATGCTCCCCCTTACTTTGCTGTGTTCCCCATCATTCCACTGATTACCCTGCTGTGCTTCCCACCGTCCCACTGAGCTCCCCATCACCCTGCTGTCACCCCTAGCACCCCACTGAAACCCCTGTCACCGTGGCTTGCTCCCTGCCGTTCTGCCGTGCTCCCCACTTGAGGTTACAGCCTGCTTCCTCCAGCCTTGGGACGCCAAGCCCCATTCCCTCAGCCCTAGGGTGCTGGGCCAGTGGGGCAGGCTGTTCCTGCCAGGAGGTGAAGGGCCGTGATGGGGGGCTCCGGGATGGGGTGCAGTGGGGGGCTGGCTGCAGGGGAGGGTGGGTTTGCAGCAGGGCCTGTGGGGGGTGTTCTGGGGGCTGCAGGTCAGGAGTACATAGGATGGCACCAGAGGTGCAGGTGGGAGACAGTAGGGTGTGGTACCGGGATCCCAGAGGATTAGATGAGTGTGCAGGGAGGGGTGCAGGGAGCGGTGCAGAGGGACTGCTGAGGGGGATGCAGTGAGGGTTCAGTGAGAGGTGCAGTGAGGGGTGCAAGGAGTGCAAAGGG